CCATAATGTACTTAATAATAGTATATAACAATTGTATCATATAATATATACAAAATATATGCTTATAATAAAGTCACGAAGCATGACTTTACCTTAACACTGAAAAAAAAAAAAAAATTAATTATTTAAATGATCTATATGATTATGAAATCTAAACCTTCGAAAGAACTAACATAAAAACAATAAGTATTATTATGGTTTTTTTTTGTTTTTTTTTATTTTTTTTTTGTTTTTTTTTGTTTTTTTTATTTTTTTTTATTTTTTTATTGTTTTTTTTTGTTTTTTTTTTTGTTTTTTTTTTATTTTTTTTTATTTTTTATTTATTTTTTATTATTTTTTTTTTATTATTTTTTTTTTTTTTACTTTATGAGCACTATTAATTCTTTTCAATTCAATTTCAGTTTTCAATTGTTATGCCTAGCAGAAACACAGAAATTATATGATTTGTGTAATTAAACCAAATCGCATAATTTTAGCTGTTCTCAAACACCTCACTAGTACCTTACTCAAATTACCAAAATCAGTTACATAATTGTCTTTTAAATTTAAATCTGCACACAAAAATAACAAAATCACGAGATCACAAGATTTTTAAAAAAATAATCGAAGCTTTTTTTTCATATCGTAATATAATCTTGTTTTTTTAGTAATAGTTATCTATCTTTATGCTTGAAATAAAGGCAATTCTGAAGTATAATATAGACTATAAAAATTATGAACAATTAAGAAACTGGGGTTTTTTGATTCATTATAACAGATTCGCAGCTGTGTCAATACTAGAGGTTAGTTCTATGTATATTAATTATTACTGACCTTTCAACTAGTTAAAATATAAATTCTGACTAGTTATTATTTTTGACTAGTCCAATCTCTAAATATAATCTTTATCGCATACTATGTATTATATGACTTGCAATTATCAATCAAATTTAAAATAAGCGAGCCTCAATTTTGCATTTAAGAAACCATTTTTAAGTTAAATCAATATTTACTATTTCTGTTATTTATAGTAAAAAAATGCAATGCTAGATGTTTGACCAACATGCTTTGCTATTGTCGTTATAATACAAAAATAATGATATATAATAAATTTGTAAATCGGGCTTAAATATATCGATATAGTATGTCCAACTAACAATCTAATCTCAAATATAGAAAATGTACAATTGTTAGCTGATTTGCTGTGTTTAATAATTGTGGTGCTGAATTTAGTAAACAATTTAATTATTTGTTTTGTGCTAAAAAGCTAGGATACTAAATAAAAATTGGCTGACTTGTGTTAAATTATCGCAATGTCAAGTCATTTATATTGCCTACTGCTTCGTATCAGATTGACACAATATATACTGAGCTAATAAAAATAAGCTGTAATTTATAATAAAAGGGTCTTTAGTACAAAGTTTTGTTCTGATTTTGCTTGTTTTCAAGAGAAAATCTTAAAATTTTTTATTTTTATAAAATCACATACTTGTGTCAACATTATGTTGCTACAAAATACACCCATTGTGTCAAAGGCCTCCAAGAGAAATTTGCATAAGAAAGAACTATGTACTATAAAAAAAGCTAAAATTGAAAAAAAATCCAATAGCCCAATCGTTGGAGAAGGTGATTCTACACTCCATTCTAGCATTAATCAGATCGAAGAAACAAACATATTTTATGATCCTCTAAAAGTATGTTAATTGTTTTTATTATATTTAGTTTTATAGTATAGTCTTCTTAGAGGCAGTTTTTGTCTTTCGAGGCAGGCCTGGGATCTGACTGTTTCCTTTCTATTGTTACTATTATTGAGGGTGTGATCGTCAAATCATGATTATCTTGTTGCGAGGAAAGGAAGACCGAACGAGCTTCCTGTTTAACGCTGAGCTACAAGATGAGAAATGTTTTGAATATATCTACCTTAAATATTTTTATTTAACTTTATAATAAAATATATCATCTCATGAGACATTTTTTGAATATATATTCTTTAGCATAAGACTCAATCAGAAACCTGCTAGTCGACCAAAGATAAGGCTCATAAATATATCTGTACTTGATAGATATCTGAAGACTTTTTTTCTAGTAATCTTAAATTGATTAAAATTTCATAGCCTTATACTTTATTAGATCTAAAAATTACTTTTAGAAGGCAACAGAAACAAACTATCCAACTAATGCCCATTTATAACTCTGAAATATCGATACATTATATGGCTCTGCTGGAGTCTGAGATCTTTAATAAAGGCTCTTCAAATTCAACACCTGAACAGTGAAAAGAGTTTGGGTTGTGGGCTAATTTTTCAAAGGTTCTCAATTTTAATAAGTGATTTCGTCTTCACTGCTATCACCTTTGGTCTAATGTTATGCATGCCTATCAAGAAGCTCAAAAAAGAATATAATATCTCAGAAACATTTAGCCAATCATCAACAAATAAATTAGATATAGCTAAAGAGGCCACAAAAGATGTAGCTATTGGTAATAAATTTGAAGGCTATTACCACATCTTCAACTTACAATGCTTCAAAAATTCTTTTGGTAAAACTGTAGTAGATTTTTTCAACCTACCTACTACAATGCTCATTGAAAATACAAGGATTATAGTAAACCAATATTATAATCACAATCTTAATAATAAAAAACATCAATTGAAAGGATTTAAAAAAGAATTGGCTGAACATTTTGGTGTTTTTACAGGCAATAACAATGAGCCTTATACAACATCAAATACCACCTTATCTTACAACAAAGATCATTTAAAATGTGTTCAAGTATTAATACAAGGCCTTTAACCATTATCTGATGCTATTAATGGTTATATTAGAGATACATATCCAGCCTTGTATGCAAAAATGAAAAAACTTGATCTTGGACCAAATGTCCCTAAATTGTTTGGTGCTTTTCCCACTGTGGTGGTTAATTTTAACATCATCTCTCAGTTCTATCAAGATCTAAAAGACCACCGTGATTCACTTTGTGTGGTCTGCCCACTTGGGGTGGACAATTAGTGTTTCCAGAACTTAAATTAGTTGTTCATGTTAAAGAGGGTCAAGCAGTGGCTTTTAGGTCTAATATTTTGGTTCATGGTAATTTCCCGGTTCTTACAGGTGTACGTCATAGTGTCGTATTTTTTATACATGGCACTATGATTAAGCAAAACAGAAAATTCGGCTCCCTTTTTAGCAATTCAGATTCGGATAATGACAGTGTTGGCCCATGACAAGGTCATAACAGTTCAATTAGTGAGGTCATATGACTGAGGTCATATGACCTCACTAATTGAACTTAGTAATATGACCTGTTATGACCCATGACAAGGCCAACACTGGATAATGATACGAATATATGCACGAATATTAAAAATAAAAAAGCCAAATCCTCAAAGTCGGGTTCGCAATTACCAAAGATTAAAAATTCAAGACGAAGCCATCTTGGTAAGTATAATTGCTATATTATAAATTATTTATAATCATTTTTCAACCCCAATATTTATATATCAATTTATTTAAGATCTTGGGCTTGCGAAAAGAGGATTGCCAGCAAAATACAAGATTTAATGATGGCCACTAAATATGCAAAAATAATATAACGAGATTTAAAAGGCGCAATTTATGATAAATGAATGTATGGAAAAAATAAATTGATTTATTGTTATAATTATATCGATATGTGAATATGTGAATGCATATTATATTAATAAAGAATCTATAGCCTGGAAAACTCGGCGCACATATTCACAATTATTGTTCAAATTTATTAAAAATGCAATTTTAAATAATTTAAATTTATAATGAATTTTCAAAATGGAATAAAATACAGACTAATCATATACATTAATAAAATACAATCTAATTATATGCATATACGAGTATAATTAATTATTCCTTATATTATGTTCAAAAGCGGGAAACCTTCTATTATTTTCAAAAGCAGGAAACCTTCTCAATTGTGAATCTGTCCACAATTTATGTATCATTGCAAAAGTACCAGCACCAACACTTGCAGTAACAACCACTACCAATGGAACTACTTCAAGTGGCAAAGCACGAATAGCAAGTCTTAACCTGCTAGTTAATGATAATGGATCGTGAATCGAAATCTTAGCACGTGGACGGTTTTGTGCGGTTAAAAAACCGTGTTTTACTTCTTTTTCAGGCATTTTCTACCGTTACTTTCTATAAAAAGTGTGAACAAAATTGTCAATACAAAGTTTTGTTGTTCGCGAATAAATGATAATTTATTAAAGAATTTTACCGCTAGTACTATTGTATATGAGACAAATTTTTCTCACTTATCACGCCAAATGAAAAGTTAGTGGCTTTTATAGATTCTAAAATATATTCTAAAATAACTTTCATTACATAATTTCGTTTATAAAATCGATATTCCTTTTCTTGTGGTGTGAGTATTTATTATACAATATACACCTCCTGATTTTTTATCAGCTGGAAAATTAATCATGCCACGCAATGCTAACGGCTGATTAGTATGGCGTAGTTTTTTAAATTCAAAATTCGGCCCGTACTATACCGATCTGCTAACCCATATGATCACAAATGTGAAGATAACATATGGTTGATTGAAAATTATAGCCAATGTTATACAAAGTATCTCTGAATCCTAACAAACTAACCTAACAGCACGTTACTATGAATATGTTAAAATAATTTACAGTTTGCTATCTTTACACGTACTATAGCAGTATAATGTCAGTGTTTCTAAATGTTGGTCAATTGTAACATATCAATATAATTCAAATCACTATATATCACTATAATATCTTACGCAATATTTATCGCTATGGAATCTAGCATTAATTTCAAGTAATTTTTTAGTCGAATTTAATATACTGTACGTTGTCTTAATTTCTTTATTTTTTAATTATATATATATATTTGTAATTCAGGTTTTCTGTAAAAACTAATCTGTAAAAGACTATTTAATAAATATAAAATTGTATACTACGTGTTTATTAATAAATTCTTATATATATATACATATCAAAATTTTACAAAAAAAAAATATATCTGATACATCTTATTTCTCTTGTTTTATCAACAACTCTAAAATCTTTTCAATTTTATATTCCATACCTTTAATCTTTTCTTGTAAATCGTCAATGCTAGGTTGAATTTTCTCTTCGACTGCTCGAAGACTTTTATTATTACTACTTCCCGATCCACTACCAACTATTAAAGAAAATTTACTACGTTCTTTCATTTTTCCATTAGGTGTATGTTCATGAACACTAGCAGAATCATCGAATAAAAAATCATCATCATTTTCATCATCTTCATATTGACCATGATCAATACTCCAATCTGAGGTTAAATCGACATCCTCACTAAGCAAAGATCTATGAGTTAACCGATATTCTTCTGCTTTTGATAACCATTGAGTTAAATCATCAGCTTTTCCAACGTAATAAATGTAACGTGGATCTTCGCGTGACGGTCCAAATAGTTTTTCCAAAGTTTCATATTCTGCGATTAATTCTGCCCTATATTTTAAAACCGCATCTTCACCCGATGATTGAGCATCGTCAAATGCTCCCCTATTGTTCATTTAAATAAAAAAATAAAAAGATGTGAAAAGATGTAACATGTTATTATGGATGCAAGTCGTGACTCTAGTAGATTTGACTCGCGATTCGATTAGCTCATGTCCTACGAACCGAATCGACGCGACTCAGTAGAATCTAGAGTCAACTAGCTCAGGATTTAAGCCGAGTCAACTCAACTCGGCTCAACTTGAATCGAGGGCTCAACATTACTTACGTCATGAATGCAATCAGCATATTTTGCATGATTGTGGTAAGTAAAATACTAGCAACTATTTAAGAATAAAAATATTTAAAATTAAAAAGCTTATTTTTTCACGAATTGTTTCATGTCTTTTTTGAGTACATACGAAGAGTTACTATGTCAATAGGTATAAAATTCCATTGATTAAGTTGATCCCATCTACCATTAATCCAAAAGAAAACACTTTCAATTGATTTCCAAAAATTCGAAAAGTAATTATCAGTAATACTAAATGGATCGGATGTTTGTGAGACCATAACATCAGGAAATAAATTTGGCGAATTTGGATCTGAAGCATTTAAAATTAAATAACTTTGTCCGCTAGCAACTAGATCTATTTGAGGTGGATTTCGTAAAAGTAGGTACCTATACATGAAAATAATTGGTATGAGTACTAAAATAAAATTAAACTTTACAATAATTGTTTATGACGATAAGCTTACATTGCATGACCTATACCAAAAACAACTATTAACATGAATGCTAAGAATGGCCAAATTTTTTGCAAAATGTTCATTATAATATAAATATAAGTTGCTGGGCCTAAAAAAAATAAAGCATATATTTAAGTAAAATGAGAGATGTGAATTTTATATTGAGATTATTGATATGATTATTTACGTTTAAAGTATCGCAACAACAAAAGCTACAAAAAAAATAACAAAGGTCAATAATATTTATAAAAGATACAGAGAATTGAAAGGCATACCGATTGTCCCCACATAATAAGAGCGGTAAACGCCAAAGCAATGCTATACGGTCTTTTTGGAAGTGAATCAGTAGATTCAAGCAACACATATACATTCGACGTAATGACCAGGCACATTGGTAGAAGGCAAGACGCCAAGTCTAGTAAGTTGTACATACTAATATATCTAAAGATCCCTTCGCGTTTCATTTGTGAAACCTCAATAATTATTAAATAATATCCCAAATAATAATATAGAAATAGTAAACCTAAATATAAATTCCTATTCATAAAAGGTTCTAAATTTAATCCATCATCTGTCAATCCAGTAAGGACCGAGAATAAGATAGCGAACACAATATAAATAAAAGCGTGACGTAAAAAATGGTTACGAGCTGTTGACCATTTATAATCGATTATCGCTGCTATCGCAGGATTACTAAATAATTCATCACTATTATCACGACGGATTGCACGAAGGAATGGACTACAATTTGTGTCTTCAGTGATGGCATATCCACGTGGCCAAATTAATATTTTTAGAAATCGTAATATGAAAGGAACTTTGTTATGATCTTTAATAGCGCCTGGAGGATACACAACGAAATCTAATATACATATAATATACAAAATATATGAATCATATAAATTTAAAATATATTTTTAGACACTTTATAAGTTTATAAGAGTTGTAATTGTTACCTGGAAGCGGTACAACAAGCAAATTAGTTAACAAGGATGTTTGACCACGTTTAATAATATCATAAAATCTGCATTATTTTAAATTATATAAGCTTAAAAATTATTTACAAAGCAAAAAAAATAAAAAAAAAATAAAAAAAATAATAATAAATATATACCCAAGTTTTTTATCTATGATTGTTTCTTCCGCTTCTCTAGCAATTTCTTCGAACGATAACATGCCTTTTAAACTCGAAATTCTTTGAATATGGGATAAATTTTTTTTAAGTTTTACCGGATCCATAATCTTCGATTTACGTAAAAGAGCCGGGTAGACACCTAAAGCATAAATAGATTTGTAATGTGCTTCAAGCAAATCTTGGGGATTTATAAAAGACATGTCGATGTGTATTTCTTTTGCGCCAAAACATGGTTTATGAAATAATTCTTTTACATAATAATCTGAAATTTTCAAAATAAAGATTAGGAATACTGTAATGAAACTATTTATATTTTATACTTACTGGCAAAATTCTACTGTAGATTTCAAGAAATTTCAAAATTTCAAGAGATTTCAAGAGATTTGCCAACAAGTACAATCTCATCACGTAGTGTTTATCAAAACATTACCCATATTATTATCGTATAATTCTGGAAGTGCTTGAGAAACGGAAAACATCCAACCAGCATTATTTATCGCATTATCAGAATAATAATTCAAGAGATATCCAACTATAACAGTATCTTTACGATTATCTCCAGAGCACTCAATAGCCAGTTGTAAATCACTTTTTTTTGGTATCAAAGGCCATTCATGTAGTCTGGGAAAATGCAAAATTTTTCCCATTTTTGAATTAGTTCCTTGAAAACTTTCGGATAAAATACTTTGAATCATAGAAACACATCTTCCACGAATCAAAGATTGCATTATTTCGTATCTAGCATCAGTTAAACTCCAAAGATCTGGGTTTGTTGCTATGATTCTTTTTAAAATATCACTTGTTTGATTAACTATCATATTAAACATACGCTTTTTCTTAATTGATTCTGGTTCATTTCGTCTATAATAAAGATATTCAAGGGCGTTACACGCATCTCTCAAAGTGTGACACGTATGAGGCCAATGAATTTGGACATGTTCACCTGTATCGTGCAACGATAAATCTATGAAAAATTCCCCATTACCAATTGAAAAACTTTGAATTTCAAATGTTGTATTTTCAGGACTTGTCCAGATGTACTCTAAACTTCTTTTATTCGAACCATTATTTTCTCTCCTCCATACTTGTATTGTTGTTAGTCCAATAATTACTTGATGATTCTTATCTTTATTAAGATAAGCTGATATACGAGGATATTGCTTATAGCGAACCCAAGGCTCTATGCCATGTACAACAATCATATTTCTTGGTTCTTGTTTTGCATCAAAGGATTTTCCATTTTGAGTAAAAATTAGATGATAAATTTGATCCATTTGTTCTCGAGCCTCCCGAAAATTCAATTGAGTAAGTTTTGACGGAGAAATCGGAGGTGGGCTCAAAGTATCTTGTAGAGAGGGATGATCAACAATTGAAATTACATTTCCAGTATCTTCATTAACGCAAACAATAGTTCCACTAGCGCTGGAAAATTTGTGAAAAGATTCTTGAAGTTTTGCTGGAATTAAATTTTCAGTATCATAAAAAGTTCTAATATCATTGTCATTTGTACTAAATAAATCCCAAATCACAATAACTGTAATCAATTCCGATGATCCACTATTCTTCTCTTCTTCTCCAACTAAAAGTAATTTTTCGTCATTATGAATAAAATCTATCGAGTTTATTCTATAAAGATTTGGAAATATTTTTGTTACAATTTCCAATGTATTTTCCATCAAATATATCGTTATACTATTAGAACCCCGACAATATGCCATTAACACATCATTTTTCGAAACTTCAACAATTGAATTTCCATTTGCAATCAAATGACCTTCTCTTCGTGCATGAAAAGTTTTATAGAGTCTACTAGTTTTTAGATCATACATTTCAACCAAATCTATTTTATAATTTTCTACTATAAAATAGTTTTTTTCTATACTCCGATGAAATAATTGTAACTTTGGTTTAGGATCATCAATAGCTTTAATAACATCAATCTGGTTGGAAATAACAGTTGGAAATAAGAAATCTTCTGAAAGGTGGTTTGATTTATTTTGATCAAAGAATCCGGATCTAGTTACGTAATTATTTTCGATCTTGATTTTTGAGATTCCCTCCTCGTGAATTATCACCAAGTCTAAATAGTCATTTGCTTGAGATGGAGGATTAGTGAGAAACCGTATGACTCCACCAATTTCATCCAATGAAGTTATTAATCTATCTTGATACAATTTTGAAAGAACCCAAGTACGTGGAATCACTTTGGATATGAGTGAACGACCTTGTTCTACATTATCTACATTATCAAATGATGAATCTTCCAGAGTTCCTCGAGAAATTAAATCTTTTGCATAGTATTTCCGATTATTTTGTTCGAAGCATGAAATACCGATTAATGTGTCAAAACGAGTACCAAGGCTTATAGAATTGGAAATCGCCAATGACCAAGTTAGCCGAGGATTTGATGGGTTTATATTGTTAAATCCTTTGAATTTTATCGTTTTTATAGATTCCAAATTATGTGTATCGCATATATTCAACTCCAAGGTCACTAATAAATAACGTTAACAATTTTTTTTATCATAATTTTTTATGAAATTTTAAATGAACATTTTGATATTATACCTGTATTAAATGTAGCAATATTTTGTCCATCTGGACTAAGCGCTATATGATATTTTGGACGTTCGGAATTCGAACTCATTTTGAAACAACGAGTCCAAGTATTTAGATTTCAAATTTCATCATTTTTATTATTTATTTTTTTTGTAACAATCTTTGGCGTTATTAATGTTACCAGATTTTGTAACAAATCTGGCGTTATTTTATTTTACCAGAATAGGTTAAATATTTCTTTAGGGGGTAATTGCATAAACGCGGCGAATAGAAGGGTCAATGTTAATAAATTGCAATTGGTTGTTGTTTAAATAATTGTTCAAGGACAAAATGTCTAATTAAATAGTTTTCTAGAATTAGAATCCATAATTGATCGGACTTTATAGATAAAAATTTTACTGCTATGCGATGCGAAGTATCGATAAATACTCACTATTCATACATTATAATTTTCCCACGTAATCATACACAACAATATTAATGATCACAAGCTTTAACTGCAGGCGAATACTAAACAAGAAGAATTGAAGTTACTGATGAAAATCGTAGACAATAATGTTATCTGGTATAACAAACATTACGAAATAAAACCTTCAATATAGCTATATTATTAATAATTTAAACTTTTTAATTTACTTTTTGTTAAATTGTCTTTTGTATATACATATAAAGATACAGTATATTCGTATTTAACTATTGTTGGTTAGTTTTTTTTTTTAAGTGATCTTGGCTCGAGCTTTATTAGTCATAATACAAATAGAGATGCAGACATATAGAATTTTGGAGGTAACTACTCTGCAAAAATATTACAGCTATATGGCATATTTTGCCGTATAAGAAGCGTCTCATGCCGTACTATATAAATGCCGTATTACAAAAATTTTAATGATATAAAAATACAGTCGTCCCTCATTTATATCAGCCCATTTGAATTAGACAATTATATTGATATATGCGAGGGTTGATAACAAAGGAATATTTCTTAAGCATATTTGTTCTTAATAAAAGGTTGATATTAACAAGAGGTTGATATTAACGGGGTTGATATTAAC